AAGGGTGGGTCCCCCGGGTGGGGGAGGGGCGGGGTCTGGGACCCAGGTAGACACCATCGCTGCCGGCTCGGGAGGGGGCTGCCGGCCCGGGCGGCGGGGCTGGGCAGCGACCCTGCCTCCCTCTCCCAGCCCCCGCCCTTGGCTCAAGCTGGAGTCCCACTCTCCGCCTCTCGGTCTGGCTAGTCTCCCCCGCAGCCCAGGTTAGACCCTCCTGGACCCGTGGTCCAGGCCAGGCACCCCCTCCGGTGACCCAGGCGTGGTCCCCCTTGCCCCTGCCCACGGCCCGGGCTGGATCCTCTTCCCCCGTTCCTGCGGCCAGGGTAGGCCTTCGTTTCTCCCTCCCGTGGCCCAGGCTGGGCTCCCCTCCCTGTGGTCCGGGCTAGGCCTCCGTCTCCCTCCGACTCTTCTCCGTGGTTTCGGTCTGGGCCCCCGTCAACGCCTCCTCCAGTGGTCCCAGCCTAGATTTCTTTCCCCGCTCCTCCAAGGCTTCAGCCTGAGCCTTCTCTTCCCTCCTTGGCCTTAGTCTGGACCTCTCCCTCCTCCGTCCGTGGCCCCCGCCTGGACGTTAACACCCCCCTCCCATCCTCTTCCCCAGACTTCTCACCGCCCTTAGCGTAGCTTCCGTCAGCCCCCCTCTGTCCTGGCCTTTACCCTCTCTCCAGGGCCCTGCTCCCTGCCCCCGACCCAGGTGGTCCCTCCCCTCTACCCATGGCGAACCTGCTTTGCCGCCTCTGGAGCTCTCCAGCCCGGGGGAGGGTGGTGGTCCCGAGGCTGTGACTTCTCAGGCGGAGGGTTGCCCCCTTCTGGGGAGGCCGCCTGGACCGAGCGAGGGAAGGGCGGGCACCTGTGTGCCCGGAAGGCAGGAAGGCAGCGCCGCACTCTGCGGGGCCCCTTCCGCGGCCGCGGCCGCTGCCCCCGTGCGGTGCTTGTGGGGCGTCGTGCCGGGGCCTGAGTGGGAGCAGAGGGATGAGGACGGGGGGAGTCTCCGGGGCAGGAATGAACGCACAATCGCCCTTGTGAGGCTGCGGCCCCTGGGGGGGACCAGCAGGCCCCGAGGCCAACAAACGGCCCGGACACGATGCAGCACAGCAGGCGCAGCCTCCCCTTCCCCCTGAACTGTCAGCTTGTGAGGGTTGGAACTGCTGATTATGGAGGTGCCTCAGATCAGGTGAGCCAGACACCGAGAGAGACAGCTAGCCAGTTCCACTCGTGGTGTTTGTTTTAGTCATGGTGGCAGGTGCCCTGGGTCCTCTGGATGGCCGGAGGTTTCACCTGGGCCAACGCAAGTGAGCCTGCCCTACCTCCACCTTGCAGCCTCCTGCAGGACGGGCTCTCTGCCCAGACTGGAAGGCCAGAGGGCTTCTCTGCCTCAGATGGTCAAGGAACCTTTGGAGATGGGCTGACAGAGCTCAGGCCACCCACCTGCTCCTCCTGCCTAGTGCAGGCAGATGTTTGCGTGTGGACTTTGGGCTTCAGAGTGTTTTGAGGGTCTCAGTTTCTTGTTTCATGAAGAGATGTGGCTGCTGAACCAGGATGACTAATTAAGAGTGGCTGTGTTTTTTTCTTGGTGCCTTCCTGTATATTGATTAAAAATCGCATTTTTAATGCGATTGGACTTCTCTGATGGGTGTTTTGCTGGGAGGCGGCCCCGCCCCGGGCCTGGGTGGGGAAGTGTTCCAGGACAGTGTTGGGTGAGGACTTTAAAAGTGGGGGGAGGTTTAATCAATTTGCTCTTGGGGCAAAAGCAGGGAGGGGAACATGGCCAGGCGGGGCTGCTCACGGCAGCATATCTGGCAGGGAGGGGCATCTTGGCTTAGCCCCAGGTGCCCGATTCTCCAAAGGTAATGGGACAAGGCCCGTAATGACCTAGGAGGAGCAGCACAGCGACATATGATGCTTCTCAGGAGTCCTGTATTTGGGTTTTATTTGGACAGTCTGAAAGAACCGTGGAGGAGCTGGAAGAAAAGGGCTGACCTTTCTTGAGGGCTACTAGGTGCCAGGCACTGTGCTGTGCAGTTCAGCTGTATGAGCTCCTTGAATCCACACGGAGCCCTTTGAGGGAGTTAACTGTTCCCGTCGTACAGGTGAAGAGGCTGCCGCTCGGTCGTGGAGTAACTTACTCCAGGTGTTGCTTAGCCAGTGGAAGCACATCTGTCAGCCTCCGACCTCCGTCCTCCCCACTGTCCCGGGCTGCTGCTGTGCCAGAAGATAGGAAGGACACTGTTTAGAAGACAGAATAGTGGGCTACTCAGCGATGGCAAGGGAGCAGCAGCATTTACTGAGGACTGGTTGTGTTCTGGGTCCTTTGCACCGGAGACCTCACTGAACAGAGCAGTAGTCATTCAGAGGGTGGTACAGGTGGGCTTGGCACGGGCCAGGACAGGAGCTCTTGGAGGGCAGGGGTTTTCCCCTGTGTTTTCCATGGCTGCACCCCTGGGGCCTAGAACAACACCTGGCGCTGAAGGAAATGGCTTTTGGGGTGTGTCTTATGTCCATGAACTCAGCCACTTGGGTTTTTGTACTCATTCTCGGGAGCATGCTGTTTCCCCTAGGCTTCTGAGTAATTTCTGACTGCTGCTTGTCAAGTCAGTCCCTTGCATGAATGCTCTAATAATCCAGACTGGTCAGTCGGGCTGGGACACAAGTGGTGACGTGGGATGTTGGAATAGGTAAATGAGTTAAGACCACCGTGTTTATTTTCGGTAGTGTGTGACAGTCGAGAAAACAAGCTACATCTCAGTTATCAATGGAGGGGAATAGCAGTTCGAGAATCTAAAATGCATTGGACTTTGGAGTAAATGTCATGATTTTTGTTGGCATCGGTTAAGAATGCATAGACAACTTTTCCTTACGTAGCTGTAGCTTCTAAGTCAGGAATGATTGTTCTAACTTAAGAGTTCTGATTCTGGTGCTAGATGGTGGGGCCCCCTCATGAGTTGTCCCTCCAGCTCCCGGATGGTTTTGCCTGACAGGAGCTGATAGGAGAGGCCTGTCACATTGTTGCAAGGTGAAACAATATAGTTGACACTAATGTGTCTTGGCTGGTCTCCTGGTGTAGACGAGAGACAGTTCAGCTCGGACCCCACATGGACACACAGTCCCGTCCGTTTAAACCTAACTGGCCTCTTTGGTGGAATGCTTGAAAAAAATAGCCAACAATCGATAGCTTGAGATGGAGATGATAAATCATAGTTTGAAAGCAGATATTCCTATTTATAACTCGGAAGTCCCATGGAGAGGACGGATGACTGGCAGGCAGCCCGGAGAGATGGTAGCTGGGCAGGTACATAACCTTCCAACTCCCGCTTCCCAGGCTGGGCGATGCTTGCCGTTAGGCAAATACAGCGGTGCCTTAGGGGGTGCCCGAAGCTGTAGGATAGCATTAATTCTCTGTGTATTCAGTGCCTCCTTTATGCAGCGTTCTGTGCCAGGGACGCAGTGATGACCAAGACGAGCGTCCATCGCTCACAGCTTACATTGTTTGGGGGATTGGGGGGGGGGAGATGCCACTTCTACCTAAAGTTTAAGGGGGAAGAACCTTGACTGATACAGCCGCAAGCCATTTGCGTGAGACACAGCAGGAGATTTAAGAGAAGGTTGGCTTGTGCCAGGCTTCACTCCCAGACCTTTCGGAGTGTGCCTGTTCTTCCCTCTGCCATAACTGTGGAAGTGAATCCTCTCCACGCCAGCACCTCTCCTACCCAGAACTGTAACGCTGTGGTGCCGTGGAAGTCCCGCCCTCCCAACCTGGGGAGCGGCCACTGATGGAGAATCTACTGTGATGCAGAAACGTGGCTTAGATTATAGCCCATCCCCCATCTTACCTGCGTGGAACCTTGAAGCTCGAGAGGTTGAGTGACAGGTGTGAGTGGCAGGCCTGGGACTCCAGGCTGGGGCCACCCGACTCCCGTGCTGGACACTCAGTCTGCTTCTCAGAAGCTGTGAGCCTGCAGTACAGGCTCTGGGCCCCTTGCTCTGTGCAGCGGATCCCAGCCGTGAGAGTGGGGCGTGCCAGGCCGGAGGATGCCATCACAAGATGACCCACCTTAGGACCAGCTAGAGCAATGCCATTTCCAAACCTAGGCTTTCAGAGAGCCGTGTTGCAGCGTAAGGAGGCGGAGATGTGCACTTATAGGGCACCAGCCATGTGCATGCACTCTGCTGCGAGCTTTAGCTCATTGGATCCCTGCATCAGCCCCGCCGGGATGGTTCAGCCTTGGGAGGGGGGCAGCACAGTATAAGCAGTTAGGACTTCGGAGCCAGACTGCCTTGGGATAATAACAGGACCTCCTCCTAAGGCTTGTTATGGGGATTAAATGAGATAATACACGTCAAGTGCTTCTAACAGCATCTGGCACATAATTGGATGCTATTGTTGTTATTATCACCCTACTACAGATGAGGTTCAAAGGGGTATGTGGGGAGTCCCTCTGTAGCCGTTAAGTGGGGGACTGGGTTTTCTGACTCCAGAGACAGACCCCTTTCCTCCACTCTGTACTGCTTGCTGAGGTTTGCTTGGCTTTGGGCTGTGCTTCGAGTGAAGAGCTTCCCTCACGGAGCCCGAGTCTCTACTTCACAAAAAAGGCTTCCCGTACATCGGACACTTGTGTATTGTCATGGCCCGCTGCTGTATCTCGGGCCTGTGCCTGGTGGAACCCCTTACGGACCGAATCCTTGCCCTCTTCCCAGATTAGAAGAAGAGGGTCAGGACTGGGGACCGAGCACGTGAGCTCCGTGAGAGCAGGGCGCTCATCTGTTTGGTGCCCGCTCATCACCCACACCTTGCACTGGTCACCTGGCACTCGGTGGGCGCTTCAGCAACACCAGGCAATGCAAAGTGAGGGCCGAGAGTCCTTGTCCTGTGTTTGCCGCCTGCACCACAGAACGTGGGCTTTGGAGCTGGGCCCAGGCGGGTTGGAGTCCTGCCTCAGCGGTGATCGGAAGCGGGAGTACTAATCTCCCTTGGCCTCAGTTTCTTGATCCGTAGCACGTGGGTAACATTTTACGGGGATACCGGGAGAAGGAAAATTGCAACGTACTGAATCCAGTGCTTGGCACACAGTAGGTGGTAGCTACGGTTATTATTTGTCTTATTCTGCACACTGCAGAGTAAGGGACACAGACAGAAGCCATAATCCCCGTTCTCTGATCCGCAAGGGGAGACCAGAGGCATCCAGAAGGTTTCGTGCAGCAGGAAGGACACAGCATGGAAAAGGCTTTATTGGCAAGGGACACGTGTCTGCTCGGCCTGCATTCCACTTCCTCCAGGAAGCCCTGCAGACCGCTCCGGCCCGCAGGCAGCTTGGGTGGGGGCTGGGTGTGAAGCCCGGGGAGACCTTGCCCAGGCAGAGAGGATAGGGTGGGGTGCAGTCAAGGAGAGGCCATTCCAGGCCCTGCCTGGAACAAAAGCAGAGTTCAGGGGTCCGGTCAGTCTTGTGAGTTTGGAGATCAGCCACGGAGTAGACGGAGCGAGTGGGGGGTGCCTCAGTCCTGGGAGTCAGCTGGGGAGTGCCTGAGTTGCTAAGCTAAGGAGTTTGCATTTGATCTGGGACAGCGTGGAGCCAGTTAAATATTTGACGGGGCAGGTAGAAATTTGAGGAGGCTGGCAGAGTCGTGGTATTTTAGGAAGCGTCATCTGGCCCTGGTGTGTACAAAGGCCCCAAGAGGTGAGAGAGCGGAGGGAGGCATTCGCCAGCACCAGCCTGTGGGGTTACGAGGGTCCCAGCCCTTTGTGAGGCGCCCGGGGTACGGAGAGGAACACATGGGCAAGAAAGATGAAGATAGGAAGGCAGAGTGAGATGCCGTGATTTACCACCTCTGGGTCTGAGAGGGACATTTGTGCCCCCAGAGCTCACTGGTGAGGCATTGTGATAGGCTGCTTTATCATTGATCCAACTTGCTATTTCTGGTCAGCTTAAATCCTAGATAGTACTGTCTGCAAAGCCTTGATATCCTACTAACAACTAAGCGGGGATTTTAGTCTGGTTAGCGCAGCATTCCTGTATCTTCGGGTGGCCCCCAGTTCCACTCCGCTTGCACAGCCTTAGGCTCTGGGCAGGCAAACACCTAAGACCACCGGTCCACAGGGGGGCGGGGAGGGGGGACTGTGCATGGTGGCCGCGACCATAACAGGAGCTACTTTTTGTTGACTACTTTTGAATGCCCAGA